AAAAAACGTAAAAAGAAAAAAACACACAAGCTGCAGCACCTCGGCCACCTCGACACCAAGGACGCGACTGAGGACACCAGCAGGACGGCCAAGAGGCAGAAGAGCATCGCAGAGGAGCTGACGGGTGGTCAGATGGATTAAGAAGCCTCTGGTGCCGAAACGGTAACAACACGTCTCCCCGTTCTGTATACAGAAATGGGAGCGAACGGTTGGCCGCAGAGATCACAGCCCCCAATTTGTACGCTTGGAAGAATGGCTTTGGAGGTGGGGGGTTGAGCATCAGCTTAGGAGCGCATCATCACTCGGTTGTGTATTGGCCTACAACTTCACATCTGACATGTACCATAGAAAAAAACTTGTAACCGTGTATAAAGCCCATAAGAGGCTGCAATATTTACTTTCAAACCAACTTGCCCCCAAAAACTCCGAGTCCACAGTGCCTGCCGATATGCAATGAAAGACGATACATGACGAGCGTACTTGTAACATCCAGTGTGATCCCGATGCCGCTACAAATGCATCAGCATCGTTTACTTCTCTTTAATCAAGTCGAAATGCAATCATGGTAGAAAGCTGCCCATCCTAGAAACATCAACTTTGACGCTTCCTCTTCTCGACCAAGACAACGGCGATGACAGCAATCGCGTGGATAGTTATCACATCTCTTGGCCACAGGATGTGCACGGTGGTGTGAACAGCAAGCCGATCATCTCTTCTCAACCAACAGTATGTGCATCGCACCATAAGCGAGAATGGTGAACAGAATGCCGACGATGCCCAAGTTGATTAGGTCAGAGCCGAGAGCGCTGTTGTTGAAGCCGAAGGAGCTCAAAATGGCCGCACCTGGCACGGTAATGTCGAGCCCGTATTTCTTGTCCACCAGAGTGAGCTCCAGGACTTCGTTGACGATGAGGCACTCAAAGGCATAGTGGAAGATGGAGAGGTTTTGCAACCACACGGCAGCGTCGGGGATGGCGTTGTGGTTAAGGAGCAGACCAGCGAAAAGCAGGCTGAACAGCATCACCAGGCTGCCAATCAGATTGGCGACGCCGCTGTCCTTGCACACAATGCCGATGAAGAGACAGATGGCTGCAGCGGCCAGGTTGAACAGGACCAACACAAGGATGAAATTGAAAAAGTGCGCTGCATCTGGAACGAGGCCGGTCATGGGGTAAACGATAATGCCCATGAGGATTGGTGGGATTATGCGCAGTGGAACGATATCGAAGGCGAGCTTGGCGGCAAAGTACGTGATGGGCGCGTAGTAACCGTTGGCACGCTCCCGCACAAACAAGAGTCTCTCCGAGGCAAAGACGTGCAAGCTCGTCAGGGTGCTGAAACCGAACAGAGCAAGCAGGAAGAAGAACAGACCAAGGCGGTTCTGGAAACCCGGGATATCATCCGTCAACCCGTAAAAGAGGTAGCCTGACAAGACAGCAAGCAGAATGGCAATGGCGTAGTGCGTCAGCATCAAGATGGGGTTCCTGTACAAGTTTCGGAAGGTTCTTTGCGACAGGATGATGAACTGGCGGAAGTAGCCGACACGAGCATACCCTCGACCGATGGGGCCGGTGTTGACATTGGGTCCGCCAGGGGAGGTGCCGTTGGAGTTGTGGCCGTTGGCCGTCTGGGCCGTGGTGATGGACTGCTGAATCTCCTCCGACGTGGACGCGGCGATGCCGGACTCGGTGAAGGCCCGTACCAGGATATCGAGGTCGCTGCCGCTGGGAGCCCCAGGTGGAAGATCATGGAGATCATCCTGGTTGCTTGCAGCCTGTCGGTGAAGGCGGTACGAGCTGGAATCTTCAGCGCCAGCATCCGAAGATGCCGCCGTGTCAACGCCCTTTCGGCGGGTGAAGAGCTCGCGTTCCTGGCGAACTCTGACAGAATCCTTGCGGTTGTACTTGGGACGGGATATCGTAGACTCAATACCGCTGTCTTCGTCGAGGCTGCCACCGGCGACACTGGCGATGGACTTGACGGCCGTGGTGCTGCTGGGGCCAACGCTGGCCACATCAGCACTCAGGGTACCATCGTCTGTCGAGAAGGTGGTGCTCGCATGCATGGTAAGATCGACGAGGTAATCGGCAATGTTGAAGCCGGGAGGGCACGCATAGCCAATACGATCAAAGTAGGGCTGGCACTGCGAGAAGGGGCCCGAGAAGACGGTTCTGCCCTGAGCCAACAGAACGAGACGATCAAACAGCGCAACAATGTTGGAGCGGGGCTGGTGGATAGTGAAGATGACGGTGCGCTTGTAGGTTTTCGCGAGCGTGACGAGGCATTCGACCACATTGAAGGCATTGTATGCATCGAGGCCGCTCGTGGGCTCGTCGAGGAACAGAATCGAGGGACTCGTGACAAGTTCGCAGGCAATGCCAACGCGGCGTTTCTCTCCACCAGAGATACCACGGCCCTTGCCCTCGGCAGAGCCAATAAGAGAGTCGCGAATGTGATGAATTCCAAGTTGCTTCTCAACCTCGTAGACTTTCAGCTCCTTGGCGGCGCGGGTCATGTTACGGGGCAGACGGAGCAGCGCGCTCGTCAGGATCGTTTCGTGGACCGTCAAGGTCGGCAGCATGGTGTCCTCTTGGTCGACGAAGCCAATGACGTTTTTGTAGGCAGCATCGGTCACCTTCTCGCCGTTGACCAGGAAGTCGCCCGAGACACGACCGCGTTTGTTCTTGCGTGCCAAAATGTCAAGGAATGTCGTCTTGCCAGCACCTGAAGCGCCCATGATGGCCATGACCTCGCCGGGGTGGGCCATACCCTGAATGTTGGCTAGAATCTGCTTCCCGTTCAGGTCATACGCAACGTTCTGGAAGTACAGCGACGCAGGCTTGTGGTCAGTCATGAGCTGGGTGTTGTCGTCATCCGAGTCGTCCAGTCGAATAGCGCCGTATCTGTAGGATCGCCTTGAGAGATACCAGACGACGAGGATGACGGCAACGAGGAAGAGAGAGCAGCCGGCAATGACACCTGCGATAAGTGGCGTGTTGATCTTCTTCCTCGGACGTTCGTAGCCGGGCACCTTTGTGTGATGCAGGCACTCGCCGGAGCGGCACGAGAGCTCAATGCTCGCGTCACCGAGCAGACTGAGAATGAGGTCATCCATGGCAGGCTCCTTGAACTTGCAGTTGTTAATGCCGCCATTTTGCTGAAGGCACTGGAAGGTAGCTGGGCCCTTGATCTCCTCGTCCAGGAAGTCGCCGATATCGACGGAGCCGTTCTCGCCGCAGAGCATGCGGTCCGAGATGCAGCTGCATTCAATCTTGTTGCACTTGTAGGTGGTGCTGTTCTGTCTGTCGTCAATGATGGCTTTGGAGTCGCATTCAGTGAGGTGGCAATAGAAGGATTCGCGGTGGTCCACCCAGACTATAGAGGTAGGTCAGTCAGCGAGCGTGGTGCGTCGGGATCAAATCAGAAAGACAACGCACATTGAAAGTCGCACTGGGCGTCCTCCTTCTTGCAGTTGAAGGTGACCTGGGGTTTCTTCGTCCCGAGCAATTTGGTGATCTGCTTGTTGGTCACGTCACACATCTGGTAGTTGTGATCGACGACCTCGCCGCTCTGGTAGCAGACGCCGCCGTCGCCAGTCGGCATCAAGGCATTGCATGCGTTGTCCTCAGTACAGACGTTGCAGTTGATACCGGTCCAGCCATCGTCGCAGCTGCACGTCTTCTCGTTGGGGGAGCGGGGGGGCCGTTTCTGATTGTCGCCGGCGCCGAGGGAGCCACAGACTGCGGAGCGTCGTCAGCATTCTGTACGCCACAGAGCAATGAGAAGGGGAAGGAGAGAATTGGCGGTCGTTGTCACGTACGAGGGTCAATGCAGTCGTCACCACCAAACCCCTCAGGACAGTCGCATTTGCCAGTGTAGTTGTTGCAGGGCGCGAACTGGTTGCACTTGTGGGCAGGGAGGACACAGTTGAAGCTGCGCGATACGATCATCAGCATGAGGCATGGGCGAGGCGACTTCGGAGATGCGCGAGGACATACCAGGGCGGACAGTCGGCTGGGCGCGAGTTCTCGAGGGCCAACTGGGCTCGCGCCATGTCGAGATCGGAGTAGCTTGTGTAGTTGCGCTGGGCGGCGGCGAGCGGGGCCAGGCCGGCAAGAGCGCCCAGGAAAAGGGCGCTCTTGAGCCGTAGCACAGCCATCATGAGAAGAATGTTCGATCGGAGGGCTGGTGGATGGAGGTGGTTAGGGACAGATTGCCCGATGTGTAGCTGTTGATGGACGAGGGAAGCTCGGAGGCAACAGCGCAGCGACGACGATGCCTTGATGGGCGAGTTCAAGGTTGGGGAAGCTCGAGCTCCAGGTGACAGCGTCAGTGGCCAGCACCTTAGCCCGTGGTCGCTCGGCCAGTTCCCAGTGGGCCGTTCCTGGTTGGTGGACGGCTGGCACTGCCCGCACTCCGCTGTGCAGCAGCGGCGAGGTCCAGTGCGGAGGGAGTCTGGGGCCGCCTTGCCATTGGAGCGCGCTGTCGCATGGGGCCGAACGGGTCGAGCAGGTGTCGGTTAAAGCTCGCAGTGGCGTCACCAAGCATGCGAACGTGGCGGGGCCACTCCACCACAGTCTGCTGTGAAAGAGTCAATGACCATCACAATGTGTCTGCCTGCGCCGCCCGTGCCACAGTTCCCAGCGCCGCTTTCCGGCATCTGTCAGCCTTGACGGAATCAAGCATTCAATGATGACTTCAAGGCAGTAGACAGCATGATGGGCCGCACCATTATGTTCACGCTGTGAGCCTTACATAGATTTGCTACGACGGTAAGTGTGAGCCTAGGAATGGCCAGATGCTCTGGTGAGAATGGACATCGGCGGTACACCTAGGCAAATGTCGAAGCCGATGTATCCTGATAGCACTGCATGGAGCAATAGACAAAGCACAGCGATGCACCCTCTGAAAGTCATCGTCACATCTGACTGATGCACATAATGTTATACAGGAGCATGCGCTAGGCCATAAAAGCTTCGACAGATGTAAGCTGATGGCACCTGAAAGCTTGTCATAGCCTTGATGGCATGTGTCTTAGGATGTAGGGTCACGTTTTCATCTACAGGACTATGGTCCTCTGGAATTGACTTGATAGCTTACCAGCACGCACGAACGAGCCGTGTATGCTGACTAGAGGGCTATCTATGTATGTTATACCGCCTACCTTACTCACTTCAACTCTGTATCGCTAGCATTATGAGTGCTCCTTTATCATGCCTGGTTCGATTACGGAACCTACTTCCTAATCAGATGCTGAGAAGTGGCTGTATAAGTTGCTCGGCCGGGCATTCGGTTGACTCGGATGTCGTGTGCGGCGTTCAGGTCAATGGAGTTTACAATGCCTGTATGATCATGTCACGCAAGGTTGGAACATATTTTGAAGTTCAGAACTAAACCCTGGTCGCTTTACACGATTACTTCCTATTAAAATCGATCAAGATGAAATTTACACATCATCAAAGCCATGTGGCTCCTCGGTCGTACTGTACTCACTCCTCAATTCGATCGATGCCTTGTTGTACCTCAGCCGAGACAACCCCCATTTCACACCACGACGCTGGCTTTGCTCCACTTGTTAGCCGCCCGTAATCTCTCGCCAAACACGTAAAACACAAACGGCACCGGCACCAGCAGCACGGCAAAGCCCGCAAAAATACTCGACCCGGGCCCGACGCCGAGGTTGGAGTACAGCGGCCCGACGACGAGCGGGAACGCCGCGGCGAAGCAGCTGCGCAGGAACGTGTTGGCGGCGACAGCGCTGGCGGCGTACATCTGGAAGGTGTCGACGAGGTAGTTGAGCGCCGCCTGGAAAATGGTGTTGAAGCCGCAGCCCGTGAGATAGAGGCCAAAGACGGGCACCATCCAGTGAGCCGTCGCTGGGCCGGCCGTCCAGCCTGTGACAAACTGGCCCACGGCGAAGAGCACGCTGCCTAGCATCATGGGCGGCAGCCTCTTCTCCGGTACAGCACGGTCGCCGGCGGCGTGGTACGAGCGGTTGTAGACGAGCTGGTTGAGCGTGTTTATGACGGCACCCGTGATGGCGCCCAGCAAGATGGCGAGGAAGGGCAGCACGGCGCTGACGGCGGGCCAGCCGCGCTCGACGCCAAAGATGAAGGGGATGGCGCCCAGCTGCATGTAGAGGATGCCGTAGCAGAAGCTCGCGTACAGGGCAACGAGAAAGCAGATGGGCGTCGCAATGAGCTGCAGCGGCCGCACCAGGAACTTGCGCGCCAGCTCGCCGACGCCGACGTCCCACTCTTCGAATCTCGCGTGTAGTGCCCAGTTCCCTGTATCATGACGCAGGCGACGAGCTTTGTCGACAAGGAGGCGCGGCGGATACGATTCGTCGATGACGAGCACGGCGATGAACAAGACAAAAGCCTGCAGCATGCCCGTCACATACTCGGTCCAGCGCCAGCCGAGCGACGGATCGGACACGAGGGCGGCCGAGACGATGGGGCCAAGCGTAGGCCCGCCGACGACGGCCATGGCGTAGCCGGCCATGGCTATACCGCGGTACGCCGGCGTGTACAGGTCGCCAAGCACACCGCCTGTGTTGGTGACGGGGGCCGAGGCGAAGAGGGCGCCGAAGAAGCGCGTCAGCATCAACGTCTGCAAGTCCTTGGCCGTCGCCGAGGCAAACGAGAAGCACATTGCGATGAACATGGGCGATAGGACTGCGGCACGACGGCCGTAGACCTCCGAGAGCGGCGCCCAGAGAAGCGGACCGACGCCGAAGCCCATGAGGTACAGGGACGTGCCGAGGGTGGCCACTTGTTTCGAGACACGAAACTGGGTGGCAATCTGTTCGGTGCCGGCGGCATAGGAAGACGATGCCCACGTTGCCGTCATGGTGACAAAGCCGTATAGTAGTGTTGTGAGAACCTTTTTCTTGGTGGGCCAGTTAAGGGGGTGGTATGGATCGTCGGGCCCTTCATAGTCGACCAGCTGCTCTTCCGTCGTCGGAACATGGGCCAGTGGGTGGGAGAAAGGAGGAACGCTCGGCCGGGAACGTATCTTGGAGAGGATCGTGTCCCGTCGTGACATGGTTCGTCTCAGCTGGCATCCATTGTCGTCTCTGCCTGTGGCGCGAGAGCTTGTTCTTTGCATCTCGAGATCACACGGGCGATGGCCATCATGGTGGCTCTTTTCGTTGAACGAAGAGGTACAGCCTGAGGGCTGGGCCCGAGGCCGAGGTTGAGGTCGACGCGTCGAGGGACCACCATTTCTGTCGTTGGCAGCAAAGGTCGAAGAGGATGCGGACGACGATGATGAACTGGAGGGAGACAGCTGATGGCCGTCTCCCTCATCATGTAGTGTCGATTCTGGCGTTCGACTTGTCTGGAGATTCGCCATGTTTAGGAATGAAGCTGTGAAGCTGGCTTTCGATCGACGAAGCCATCGTCATAGTCATTCGGAATTTAGTCCACTAGTATATGGTCATCATGATCAAAGCGTGTTGACTGATTTGCCATCCTCAGCCGACGTCGGAAACGGAGCAAGTGACGTAGTCATCGGCCAAGAATCAAACTTGGCCGAGACGCGAGTCAATCGACCGGCTTGCGCGCCGGGTCGCTCAGGCCTTTTTGGGACAACCGGGGCACCGGCATCTTGGCTTTAAACCCGTTGCACCCATTCCCGGCCCATCAATTGCTGATCTTGCGTTGACGGCAAGCAACTGCATTCTGAAACTTCCTGGTTTTCCGATATCAAGATTTCCAAGATGGAAATAGATACAAGGATAACCAGGTGTGCCGTGCAAGTTTACGCGGCTCATACACCTCCGATAGCTTTTGCGGTCGAACAAAACGGCACGAGTAAAAGATGCCGTCCGTCATCCGAATTCCAGGGCATGCGCCGACATCGCGTGATTCGAGGGATCATAAAGACGCATGCGAGGCATCTAGCCACAGATTTCAGTACACGACGAGACAAGTCTTCCTCCGGTTCCGCAACGGGTGCAGACAGCCAGGGGCCAACAATGAGCCGGCATCGTTGATTATCCTGTTAATTTGAGCTCTTCTGGTATGAGAACGCATTATCCTTCGCAAAGAGGGGAGTCCATGGCGTGATATCAGTCGGGCAATCGGCAACCTGCGCAAGAAGATGGTCCATTGGCAAGACGGTCTGCGAGAACTTCGCCTCAAGACCTGCGCCATGGCCAGCCTGCTCCCAGGTATAGGGTAGATCCTTTCGAACGCCAAGAGGGAATTGGTCCACTGATCAAACCAGAGCAGCCTCTTTCGTGTGGTAGCTGCAGCTGCTTGAGCATCGTTGCTTCGTAGTTCGTGAAAGCTAACCCCGAGTCGGCGTGTACCTCGAAGAGCCCATCGTCCATACGATTGTTCTGGTCATTCCAAACTCTCCATATCCATGACTGCAGAAATGCATGCGCTCCATCACGGTCATCCTTGTCGTCGAATGCACCTGCTCGGATTAGCCGCCAGTGATGTTGACGCGAGAAAATTCATCTGACTTGGAAACCCATGCCAGCCCAACGTCGGCGAACCCAATCCCAACTTGGTTTCCAGGCAGGGACAGATGAAGACAAGGACCGAAAAAGCTTGTCAAACAGAGGTTTGGTACAGAGCGAGCGCACACATGTCCAAGCCTAGCAAGAACCAAGAGGGAGAAAGAGCCGGACCCATGCACTTGCCGAATACGACAAACACGATGCGAACCCGAATGCCTCGCAACTTCGCATCTCGCATCTCGCATCTCGCATCTCGCATCACGCGTCCACCCTCGACTATTCGACAATCGATCATGTAGCATGAGACAGCACCCGACATCGCCGTCAGGCTGGCGAACGCCGAGCTTTGGCGTGCTCCTCATCCCGTGAGATGCAAAGTGATATACGGCACCTTGCAGGAGGGGTTACTTGAACGACCCTTCGCGCACCACCTGTGAGCCGCCGACCACCCTTCCACACTACGCCAGACATCCCGACAAGTTCGCCATGGAATCCCTTCTGCTATATCTATGGGCTCTATTCAACTGCCTCTTTGGCCTGCCCCAAGTCCATCAGAAGCCTCCGACCAGCCCGCCGCTACTACAAGGCATTATACCACCACCGCCCGCGCCAGAACCCATTACCGTCATTGAACTCCCGTTGCCACCTGTGGCACCTGACAATCGCGAAGGATCATGCTCATCAGAAGTGAACCCAGCTCGGACGGGCTGCATAGGGAGGACAACGCAGATTCAATCGGGCAACTTTCTCCCCGACAACCTTCACGTCCTGTCCATGGTTCATTTTGTCGGCGCCCCAGCGGCACCTGATCCAGCAAGCATCTTCCAAGGCGAGCAGCTCATCATCATCAAGATTGACGGCACACTCTTCCCGAACGGCGACTCATGGAGATGCATCACATGCGGAGTACCCGACCACAACGCCGTGGGCGCAACACCCAAGCTCGACTACCCCCAGGCCTTTCGCGATGGACGACGAATCCTGGCAGGCGCCAACATCATCCAGGCAGCTCACGGGTTCACGGGTGACGACCTGACGCCAGATCAGGTTCACATCATACCCATTCGATGGAAAACAACCGCTGACAATTCGGGGCCCGGCGGTTCCATGCGCGAGCTACGCCTGCACCCCGACGATGTCCACCTCGGCTGGAGCGCCTTCTCCTTCGATACAGGTTCTCTCGGCCAGTACTGCTACTACGGCCGCCTCGCCTTCAGCCCCAGCCCCAGCTCTGGCCTCCCCCTCGCCCCGGGCTACGACCTGACGAGCGTCAACCTGCTCTACGACCCCGTAGCCTCGCAGCCGCTCGCCGTCCACCCAACGACCCCTCGCGCCTGCTCCTCAACGCCTCCGCCATATCCGTAGGCGAGCTCCGCGGCTTCAGCGCCTCCGGAAAAGAGGTGACCTACGTCGGCAGTCCCTCCGAGTCATCAAACATTGACGTCTTCGCGGCCGACCTCGTCACCGGCGCCGTTCGCCGTCTGACGAGCCACCCGGAGTACGTCGATCCCGTCGACCTTTCGCTTGAGGGCGGGCCCGACGGCGGAGCGTGGACCGTCGTCATGGACACGCGCGGCACGGGCAGGCAAATGTTCCTTGCGGGCCTCCGTCGCATTCCGCCGCTGACGGATCTCGTGACAGTCGCCGCCGTGGCGTCGGTGCGCAACAACGGCTATCGCCGCTTCTTCCAGCCGTGGCTCATCGATCGCCACGGCGACCGCGGGACGTACATGGGGGCAGAAGATCAACGCTGCCGGCGACGGTATCCCCGGGCGGAGGTGCCATCAATGATCCGGAGTGGGAACGGGCATGGCTGATCCGAAGTGGTCGGGGCGATTGGAAACTAGGGATTGCCTTACTGGTAGGCCTTTGATTAGTTCACCCGTGCTTGCGGGAGGTGATAACCCCGTTGCTGTGTTATGAGTCTACGG